AAAAAAAAAAAAAAAAAAAATCCCTTCTTCAATTTGCCTTGACTTTCCTAGACCTGGAAAATACGGAGATCTCTAGCCACCTCCCCCCAGTAAAAGGAGAGGAAGGAGAGAGAGAAGGGGAGGAGGAGGAGAGGCTGGGGCTCGCTCCCCAGGGCGCACGGGGAGGTTTCCAAACGCAGGGTCCTGTTTAAAAAAAAATTTTTTTTTTTCTTCCTGAATCACCCGCAGCTGCCTCTTCCGCTGGGAAGGGGGTGCGTGCGCGTTGCGTGGCGCTCGGCGGCGCCTCGTCTTGGGGTTCAATTGCAGCAATGAAATCCTGAAAATTCCCAAGGCTGGGGGGGCGGGGAGGGGAAGGAGGGGGTGCGCGCTCCGGAGATGCTCGGGTGCTGCAGCGCCTGGCACCCCCACCCCCAGATGCCGCCGCCTCCTGCTCCTCCTCCTCCTCCTTCTCCTCCTTCTCCTCTTCCCCCTCCTCCTCCTCCTCCGAGTTTTGCTAAAATAAGACTGGTGTGGATGGAGAGGTGCGAGAAGAGCAAGGAAAGGGGGGAAAACGGGCGCAAAGGTCCGCACCGCTGGCCAGCGCGGCTCCGAGTGGGAGGCAAAAGGACCCACCCAGCACGCACGTGACGGCCGCGGCCAATCGCGAGGGGGCGCCGGGCCGCGGGCGCAGCGGACAGGGACCGCGGGGTCGCCAGGCTGGGGGTTGTTGGGACAGAGTTCTGCGCCCCCAGGACAAACCTGAGTCCCCGCTGGGCTCCTTAGCGCCGTCCGAAGCCTGGCGTGGAGGAAGGAAGCGAGGAAAACTTGAAGAAGGGGATTCGCACTCAGAGAGGTGCAGTGCGTGAAGCGCTGAGCACATTTTGGTCTGTTTAGCAAAAGTCAGTTTTTTGAAAGATAGGAGCGTGGTTGGAGGTTACTTCTGTGAAAGTTGCAAATTCCGCGGCTCCGGAGGCTGGAAGAAGGGTTTATCCCAGCTTTGAGACCCCAGCGGGCCCAATCTGAACTCCCCCAACGCAACTAACTAATCCGGTCCTGGTGGGCAAGAGGGGGGCGTCCTGGTGCTCTGTGCTGCGCGCGCGGGCTGAGCTCCAGCACCGCACAAGCACGTTTTGCTTTTTCTGTTGTGCAGTTTACTAAACTTAAAGGGTCTACTGACCATTATTAACTCAGACACTCTGTGCACGTGAGCACGCAGGCCCATAGGAATAGCCCTCGGTGTGGAATTTCTGGGTGCAGAGGGAATGCACACCTTCAGGTTTATGAAATGTCAGACTCTCTCCCAAATCACTAAGGTTCACAAAACACATATAGACTGGACGGCAGGGCTGGAGGAGGGGAGGGGAGGAAGGGCATGAAGGCTTTCGAAGCCAGCCCTCACGCACATCAGCATTTGAGATTGGAACATTCTGGAAAGATATCTTTATATATCGGTTCCCCATAGCTACAGCAACTGTAAGATTTTCTAACTTAACAAGCTAGGAAGAGTGGTGCACATCTGTCATATTGGCACTTGGGAGGCTGAGGCAGGAAGATCACAAATTCTAGCTCAGCCTGGGCAATTTAGCATCTCAGCGAGATGAGAGGAAACAGATAGACTCTGTGGGGATGGGGGTGATGGGCAGGGGTCGGGGAGGCTGGTGGATGGGGAGGGGGAAGTGAACTGAAAAGAATCAAGGTGCCATAGGCACGTGTTCCAGCTCCCCACGATGAAGTTTTTGAGACAAGGTTCCTGTCTCAAAAAATAAAAGGGCTGGGGATGGGGCACAGTGCAAAGGCATTGGGTTCAATCCCCAGTACCAAAAATAAAAAAAGACTTTCTAATTTGTCAAGATACAGACAAAATGATTGGACCCAGCCCGGTTAAAGCTGTGAGACGGGTGTGTGGGATTCACGTGGGGAATGGAGGCTGAAGCAGTCACCAAATGGCAAGGATTTCAGTACCTGATACTGTTTTGGACACAAGCGATAGCTGATAGGGAACAGGAAGCCATCGAGCGTGCGGCCGCAGAGCCACCACTGGAGAACGCTCTGCGCTCTGCAGAAGGTGAACTTGTAACTCTGCTGCTGTGCCCCTGCCACCAGGACGGCTGGGTTTTATCCCTTGGGCAGTGCCTGCAAGATTCCTTCCCTTCTCGTTCCTCCCCTACACCCCTGGGATGGAACGCAGGCCCTTTGCCCTGAGCTACGCCCCAGCCTATTTATTTACGAAACAAGCTCTCACTAAGTTGAACTCAGAATCCTCCTGACTCAGCCTCCTGGAGTGCTGGAATGACAGGTGTGTGCCGCTGCCCCTGGCTTCAGCTCAGCCATCTCTACCAACACTGAACACTTAAATATCCCGTGCCCCTCCAGGGAGCCAATCTAGGAGGAGGGACGAAATGTGGCCTCAGAAAGTCCCGCCCTAGAATGCACAGCACTGTTTGTACTGGCTGAACAGCAAAATATCCCACATGCAAGATGGGGGGGTGTGCCCTGGGGGTGATATGAGGGCTTCTGACACAAGAACGGAGGTGGTGTGCAGCTATGTGACTGTCATGGACACCAGGGTGAACCTGAGAAGCTAAACCTAGGATACAATGTGATGTGTAATTCTTCTTATATAGAGTGAATGTGATAAACAACAAAAAAAAAAAGAAAAAATTGAATGAATGTAAACTGGTACAACCACTCTGGAGATCAGTATGGAGATGCCTCAGAAAACAAAAACTAGAAATTGACCCAGCTATTCCCTTTCTAGGTACCCTCCTGAAAGAGTTAAAGGCTCCATATTACAGTGACCCATGCATACCCATGTTATAGCAGCACAGCTCATAAGAGCTGAATCTTGGAAATGGTCTATCTGTCCATCAGCAGATGAATGGATAAAGAAAATGTGGTATGTACATTCAATGGAGTACTACTCTGCCATAAAGAAGAATAAACTTGAGTCATTTGTAGGAAAATGGATGAACTTTGAGACATAATTTTAAGTGAAATAAATCAGACACACAAGCTTGAATATCACATGGTTTCTCTTATATAAGAAACCCAAAGTATAAGTATTTAAAGAGAAAAATAAAAGATGAGAGGAAACAGATAGACTCTGTGGGGATGGGGGTGATGGGAAGGGGTTGGGGGAGGCTGGTGGGTGGGGAAGGGAAAGTGAACTGAAAAGAATCAAGATGCCATAGGCACGTGTTCCAGCTCCCCACAATGAGTGTATTTAGTAAGTATTGCAGACATACACTACTAAAAAAATTTTTTAAATTCAAAACTGGTCCAATGGAAGCTAAGTCACAGTGGCATCCTTTGAGGGTGGAGAGAGGCCACAGGACCTTCTGGCCGTGTCTCTGTGTGGGCCATAGGGGAGGGCCAGAGCACACTCCTTTTGTGAATTTTATAAGTCATTTTGTAAAAATGAGCTGTGCACAACTGACGCCTGTGGTTTTTGTCTGCATCTGAATTAAAAAAGTGTTTGTAATGCTGCTGGGCGTGGGGCCTGGGCACCGCCACCGATGGCAGCACTCTGCAAGAATTCTCTTTTGACCATGTCTGTACAACAAACCCAGACCGGGGCTGGGGATTTAGCTCAGCGGCAAAAGCGCCTGCCTGGCAAGCGCAAGGTCATGAGTTTGGTTCCCGGTACCGGAGAAAAACAAACAAAAAAAAAAAAAAAAAAAAAAAAAACCCAGACCCCTGGCTGCATATCAGCCTGCAAAATGTTGCAAACTCTGACTTCTGCCAGGCGTGGTGGCACGTCTCTGGGAGGCTGAGGCGGGAGGATCCCGAGTTCCACTGCAGCCTAGGCAACATAACAACTTAGCAAGCCCTTGTCTCAAAATTTAAAAGGCGGGGGGGAGTAATCCCTAAGTTTGCCTGGCTATGGTCTGATGTGTCAGGGTTCTCCACCCCTTCTTTGGAATCTTCTCAAATCCTCCAACTCTCCAAGTGCACAATACCTCTTTTCCAGAAAGAACTGGCCTCACTGTCCCTAAAGTGTGCTAGGCTTCAAGTATATCATCCTCGCAGGTTCACTTGGTCAAGAACAAACCTCTCTTGTAGACAAAGGTATGACTCTCTAATACTGGAAACTCACCTATCACCTAGGAAATAGGAATAAATGAGCAACTCCCCCCGCAAGAAATCTTCACAGTGACCTCCCTGCTTGCCCAAATTACCCATGTGGACTCCCAGGTAGAAAGATGTAGACTCCCATTAGCATTGCAGACAGAAGCAGCTTCGCAGCAGATGGCCGGAAACCAGGACTAGCCCCTGGCCCTAATCTTTAATATATCTGCCAGCTGGGGGCTTCATTTACCAATCAGCAGCTTCACTACTACACCAGCTTCA